TTCATATAACATCTCGGCACGGACCAAGCAGAATCTTTCAGTTTCCATTGTTATAGTTCAACTGTTGCAAATTAAGAATCTGCTGCCTAGCAACGGGAACCTGTTAACCGAGCCGTTTCCCAGAAACAGTCGCTGTTTACAGAGTCATCACTTAGTAACAGATTTGTACGCCACAATATATGTATGGTGTGTATTTTCTATGCATGTTGCAGTTAACTGGTACATTTCATACACCGTAATCAGAATAATTAGCGTATTCGACGGAGCAAGTGGAGGTAACAAGCTTCATATACACAAAACCCTTTTCATTGCAACGTGTTTCATTGCCGAGCTAATAATATTACGTTTGTTAGGTTTAAAGTTTTCACAGCTGTGACTATGAGCAATGGTTTCCTAAGGTGTGGCGCTGTGTACCCCGATGGAATTATACCGAGATTTCATAGGTACATGCTGTATTTATCTTCATAGTCGAAAGAGTTAGTTGAACAAACAACCAGCAAGAAGCATATAGCAGCCATAGTAAGTTACCGGACTTTAGAAGGAATATTCTGCCTCGTCTCCAAGCTTGAAGTAAGCTGGATAAAGAGTGGGAGAGGGACAGAAAATAAGAAGATAAAAGGAGGAGGGGGCACTGCGTTTAAGGGGGATAGAAAACTGTTTCCGGCTTTGAAGGTTTCTATACATCGTCCTTGTAGGCGTACGTTTTGTGGGAGGGTAAAGCTTTAGGAAGTGAAAAAGGTAAAGGTTTAGATTGTGAACTATGTTCTGAGCAGAAGAGAGAAGTTGAGGAGGGAGAAAGGGAGAACAAGAATAGCAGAAGAGTAGATGAAAGTGAAAAATCATGGGAGAAGTTTGAGCCACTTCCGAGTGCAAGGGAGACCTAGAACGGATATTGGGAATGGAGACCGGAAACGGAGTCTTTGACAGAACAAGAGAACCATTTCCGGCTGTCGCACCTCTGTAGTCACATAAACTCTTCTTTTTCTTCAGCTTACTCGTCATCCCTGAAGATTGAGGCAGTATGTACCTCCAAAACGTCGATAAACTTCCACCAGATGTCACAGTAATATATCTGAAAAGATAATAATCTTCATTACGTACCTAACGCTACTAAGGTCCTTGGTATATTACCCGAATCGATTCTGCCTCATTAAGTCACTACAAAGGTAAGTCCTCTGCTTCTGTCTGTAGCTTCAGTCATGCAGTATGGCAGAGATAAGCAGGAATTGTATGGAAAATAAATTGGGCTGTGTTTACAGCATCTTAGTGAGTTCGAGTCCTTTCCATTACGCATTGATCGTCTCTTAAATCACTCATCTCTAAAGACGGATATTACATTTGAACAGGAATAACAGCAAAACGTTTATACCTATTCCACCTCGTTGCTCTTCCATTCAGGTCATAAAGTGAGCTAAATTCTGGACAAATACCAAACGTAATATGTAGTCACTAAGTAAACTGAATTAATCTTCTTCGAAATCCTGAAATCCTGTGGTTTTATAATCTACTACACTACCATCTCTTAATTAAAAATATAAACAAGAGTCAAGTTAATTTGATGCAGAACCTGCTGTATTTTACAGCGGTTAGCTCAGGATAAAAAGTATGTCTCAATTTGGTTTTGCATTTTTATGTGTTGAAGCAAAAACCGACACTCAATTTAATTTCATAATACAGTTAACCGTCGGAATGGACACAGGGTGATTATTTGTGGATATAAAAACCAGAATACGAGATTAACAGTCAAGCAAGTTGTTAAGAAGGAAACCATGAAAAAATGTTCAGTTCGTGACATTGTATCGGGCATGAACCTGTACCTGTGGGATATAGCAGTGGTGAGGTACTCACGGCGACGATTCTGAGTACTGGGATATAATGCACTGTAGCCTGGTTGAAATTTATCGGCGTTTCGGAGGAACGTACCGTCTCGATCATCACTGTCGAACTGTAAGCTAAACATGCAACTAACATGAAACAGACAGCGACCTCCGTTGTCTAGGAGTAACGTTCCCACCTTATGACTCAACGTACGCGGGTCCAAACCCGGCGGAGGTCGTGCAGTTTTTAAGGGCGAAAAATTCGGGGAACAAGTCCTCCGGGAGGGACTTTAAGCCGTGTGTCCTGTGTCATAGCTCTTCGGCACGTCTCTAGGAGACATCTGAGCTAAATTAGGCAACAATTTCCCGCCCAAATAGTGCCCAATGCCTCTGGTAGATGGGGGAAGTATCAAGGTACCAAGGGCCGACCTCGTTGGCTCAACGGGGCTGATAGCACGCACCAGTACTGGTAGGGTATGGAGACTGGTAGAATATTAAAGGGGGACGTACAATAGATAAACAACTGGTCGCGGTGAATGGGGAAACCCACCCCCTCCAATAATAATAATAACATGAAACAGACAGCGAGAAGGAAGTTCTGTGCTTGTTTTTTTATTGGGGACTCGAATGGCTTACTCTAAGACCCTGAAGATGGAAGCAGTACTCCCTTCCGAGATGTCTGCAAGCCTTTACTCAAAGATAGTACACTTAAAGATGAGTACTATCATTTGGGATGTGAAGCTGCGTAGTTACGTCGGGAGGTATCAACTTTCTGGAGGAATATGTTCCTCTGTTCTTCGTGGTATTCCACGTACACTGAAAATAACAGCAGTAGGTTCCTCCGAAACGTTGGCAGTATTTACCACAATGCATGGTATGATATATCAAAGGACAGTATTGTCAGATAATAAGATTGCTTAACAAAACATAAATAAATATAAAACATAAATTTTCTTCAAATTACTTTCACATCAATTGTCGTAAGTCTATTAGCATATTTATGCCTTATTGATATTATTTGCATTGGTACAAAAATTATTGCGCAAAAGTTGTTGTTGAAATGCTTTATGCTTTCGCAAACATATACTTAAAAGGATAAATATTGAAATATATTGATTTTTTTATTTCTGTGAAATGTGAGGTTACAACCTTGAACCCCCCCTTTCTTTTTAATAATTTAATTAGATCATGTTATTATCCCAGCTCATACTTGCAGTAATGATAATAAATTACAATTTTTTTAAAAGTAAAGACTTCAGGAAAATAGTTGACATACGAGGGATGAAGTAAGTGGACATAGATAATTATGTGGGTCGTCTAGTGTTGTTGAGGTCACTTGCGTCTAGGAAAAAACTATAACTGGAAGAAAAGTCTTATATGGGAAAAAACGAATGTATAATTTTTTGGGGGGGAAACGTCTTGATAAACGGTCACTTCGTAAATTAACTATGAGATGGATAGATAACAGTAAGGTAAATCTTATGTATGCAGGCAGTGAAGATGGGAAATTTGTGGAAACAATTTCAGAAATAGTGTCCAGTGACAGATTTAGTTCAGAAGTGTTTGCATCTCGGGGTCCTTAATTATTTGATTAACTAATATGTTATTTCAACAGTATAAGTATAAATTATTGACAATTGCAACGGAGTTCGAAAATAAAATTCAAATGTGGTCATATTTATGTACAACTATTGTATGATGAATTGGCCGGTCACGGTAGCCGAGCGGTCTAAGGCATGCACTGTCTTCGCTCGCTCGGAAGCCGGGATCGTGGGTTCCAATCCCACTCAGGGCATAGATTTTGTGTGCGTTTTTCTGTGTTTGTCTACAGGTAGAGGCCTTGCGACGAGCTGATCACTCGCCCAAGGAGTCCTACCGAATGTGTAAGATCTAGTAAGCCGAAGTGAAACGGAGAGTTTCATGGAGGTAGGCCAAGGCCCAAATTGGGGCTGTAGCGCCACAGAAAAGAAAGAAAGATTGTATGATGAATTACACTTTGTACTGGACGATACACTGATGACTGATTACCATAAGAATTTTACACGAGTGTATGCCGGAGTCAGTGCCCGTACAAGTGTGTGGGTCACAAGAAGTGTAAATTTTCAGCACGACGAGGAGTTAAGGCGCGTCTGCATCATGAGAAATGTCAAGTTTCTGCACTACGAGGAGTTAAGGCGTGTCTGCATCGTGAGAAATGTCAAGTTTCTGCATGACGAGAAGTTACGTGTCTTCATCGTGAAAAATGTCAAGTTTCTGCCCGACGAGGAGTTATGACGTGTCTGCATCCCGAGAAACGTTCTATTTCTGCAGGATGAGAATTTATTATGTGTCTACGTCCAAGAGATGTGATAAGATTTTGCAGGATGAGGTATGGTGTGTCTTCAACACAAGAAGTGAAAAGTTTCTGCAGGATGTGCTATGATGTGTCTGCAGACTGTGGAGATATGGAAGTACTGCTTTGTGGCACTGTGTTTCTGTTTGCGTATTTGGACGGCCGTGTGTCCCCTGGCTATATATGGCTTGGCATGTGTAGGTTGCCTAGTAACGAGGCTACCTCATTCGATTGATTTATGACATTGTATGAAGTGCTGACATTTTTTGATGCGTATGTGTAAAATGGCACTCTCTTCAGAATGAGGAATTATAGAATGCCTTCAACATGAGAACAGACCTAACTTCTCAGGATGATACAGGATTTGGATTTCAGAACTGATCGCCCATTTCGAGAGTAACATAAAGAGGAAATATCTGTAGGAAGACACTTGAATGAGGAGTGACTAAAAATTAAATTTGCTTAGGGGGGGGTGGAGTCCAGTTGGGTCCACTCGGCACGGCGATCACTGATTGGCCTATTGTAGCCTGCCCCGGGTGATTATGATGATGGAGAATTTGGTAGAATGAAGATTGGCAGGGGAAACCGAAGTACTCGGAGAAAACCCGCCCCAGCGCCACTTCGTCCACCACAAATCCCACTTGACCAGCCCCGGGATCGAACCCGGGCCGCCGCGATGTGAAGCCAGCGATTAACCGCTTGAGCTATGGCGCGGCCTGAGGAGTGACTAAGTAGGAGTTGAGTGACCGGGTGAACATGACCAACGTGAACCGATGTCAAGTGTATGCATCATGATTAGTGGCCAAGTGGCCGCAGCATTAAGAGTGACCGGCATTTGTTTTGCTCCACAGAAAAGTGAACCGCAGCGAGGAGGCTGCTCGTATGTTGGAGCGCTGTGTACGTCTCGACGCTGCGTACACTCCAGCCTACCTGCTACTGGCGAGGCTGTACCAGGGTCAGGAAGGACGGGGCCCTGCTGTAGGGCGTCTCCTCCGTCACGTAGCCCGCCTGCAGCCCAACAGCCCAGACCATCTGGCGGAGCTAGCCGCCTGGCTTCATGAGCAAGGTAAGGCTTATTGTACTTTACTAGATATGTCAAATGAAATGTATGGAATCATAAAATGTACACGCCAAACACTGAATTTACTTTGTTTTCCTCTGACATTTTAAGTAAGTAAGAGATGACAGACTTGATGTTCTTACGGCGATGTTTGTGAATATTTTTTCCGTAGGGCATAGAATTTCGCTATCAGTATCAAGACTGCATAGCGTCGGATGAAGATTACTGTAGTTTTTAACTTGACGTCATGCGGTCTGCTAGAATTAATTTACCAGACCGCGTGATATTACAGCCATCTTAATAACTGCTAATCATCATCTCAAATAAATTAATTTTATCTATTTATTATAGACTCAGCAGGTCACGGTAGCCGAGCGGTCTAAGACATGTACTGTATTCGCTCGCTCGGAAGCCGGGATCGTGGGTTCGAATCCCACAAAAGACATGGATGTTTGGCTTGTGTTTATTGTGTGTTTGAGTTGCCCTGTGTGTAGGTAGAGACCTTGCGACGAGCTGATTACTCGTGCAAGGAATTCTACCGTCTGTAAAGTGATGAAAATTAAAAAAAAAAACCAACCTCGACACCATAAAGGTATAAGAGGAACGGATTAAGTAAGTAAGTAATAGACTCAGACTGACATGGTGGCTTATTCGAACGAAGATAAGAATGCTTACAGATGTTTTGGACAGCTTCTTCATCTGTGTTTGCCTCGAATATCCAGAAGCCCCCAAATTGAAAACAGACCACCGCCAATACCTAAAATTTAATTCTTGTAATTTTTAATGTAAAAAGGCAAAGGTACGGTAAAGCTATCCCTGTAACAGGCCGTGGAGGCCCATAGGGTTGTGAGACGTCGAGGCTCCCACATCTTCTCTAGACAAGAGGCTCACGGATGGCGGTAAGGTCGCCAGCCTTACGAGCCGACCGCTTTTTACCTTCAGGAAAGTACCTGCTACTCATTTCTGTTAGAGGCTGACTTGACCCTAGGGCCATAATGCGGCTGAAAGGATTAGGTTAATTGAAAAGAAAATAACTTCATAGGAACTCGAAACCGCGATCTTCCGGCTTGTAGCATAGTGCCTCAACCAACTACGCTACCACGTGCCCGCAACTGTTAATCTACAGTCCAAATTTTAAGCCTGGCTCTTCTCAGAGTGTGCAGTGATACTGGTCCGGTCTCCTGACTGAGATAGGGACTGCAGGGGGAGTATGAGTTAGTCAGGAGCACTGGTTCAGCTTGTTATCCCCCCCCCCCACCACAGTGCAGCAGCAACCACTGCCACGCTGATTCTTACCACAATTCTCACGGCTCATGCTTAACCCAGAGACCAGGTATAGATACACGGACTGTATTTTAAATTAATAATTCGAAATCTGTTCACCTTTCATAAAAATAAAAAAGTAAAAATAAAGCTATCCCTGTACTAGGCCGTGAAGGCCCATAGGGTTGTGAGACGTTGAGGGTCCCACATTATCTAGACAATCGGCTCAAAGATGGCGGTAAGGTTGTCAGCCTTACGCGCCGGCCGCGCTTTATTCCCCAGGAAAATTATTCAATTAATTCCTGGTACTCATTTCTGTTAGAGGCTGAGTCGACCCCTGGGCCATAGTGCGGCTGGAAAGATTAGGTCAATTGAAAAAAATCCAATGACCCCATCGGGACTTGAACCCGCGACCTTCCGACTTGTAGCATAGTACCTCAACCAACTACGCTACCGCGCCTTTTATAAGGAATATAAAAAGGTTTTAGAAAAGTGAACTCTAAAAGGGAGGAAGCGGTTTTCATTAAATTTGTCTAATAATAAACTTTATCTTGCAGGTTATAACTTGGAAGCTTTCTTTTATTATAACAAAGCATTACGGATAAATCCAACGCATACAGAAGCCTTGCTGGGGGCCGCTAAACTCCTTCGTGCCAAAGGACAATACGCTAGAATTCATCAGTTCAAATACAGGTTAGGCATATACGAGTATGTTGTTCAGTGTGATATAAAGTGTTCTTTGTGATCTCTTCTTTACAACAGGAAGAAAGAACAATTATTCTGTTCAGGCACACATATCGGCCATGAAACAGCGCGAGAGAAATCAGCATTTGTTATAAGATTTCGTACTTAAAGAAAGAGAATGAAACGTAGATATAGCTATTAAATGCTTCGAGATTTTTCTTTTATGTAATATTGTAATTTGCTATTGACATTTCTGCTTTAACTGAATATCTGTTTTTAGGGTCACAGAAGTAGAATAAATAAACAATAGAAAATAATTTGAAAATAGAATTTCGTTTCTTAAGATATTCTTCTGTGAAACACAAAATTGAATTATTTTTCGTTTTAATAGCACTTGATATTCAAATTCTGCGTGTAAATTAACTTAAAACGGTCTACGTGTTCGTGACATTAGTATATTAATACAAGAGTCAGCTTCCTGGACATTATCCTTCGTCCTAATTTGTCCTGGAGTTGGTGACTAGTTCTCTCGATTGTGCCCAACTGGGTAAACCTTTCACCTGAGGGCGGAATCGGGATCCAGTATCCGAAACGTCGCTTCAAATAAAAAAGTAGAACAATGAATAATGTCCAGAAAATTGATAGTTGTGTAAATTACAGCGGCTTGTAAATGCATGGAAAATAAATAATATGTTATTTTAGATGGTCACGCGAAATGTGACAGAGTATACGAGGGAGAGTCAGCAAATAGGTTACAAATGGAAACAAATTGTAAAAGGTGTGATACTCGAACCTGAAAAAAAAATTTTTTTACATACCCTCCATCAACATTGATATATATGTCCCATTGCTTTAACAGTGCGTCGAAACCCACAGCACAGAAATCTTTCGGCTATTGTCCCAGCCACTTCCTCACCACCGCTTCAACCTCTTCGTCATTAGCGAAAAGTTGACCACATGTCTCAACCCACTTGTGAACTGCTTTATGCGACAAACACTCCCCACCGTAAACAGGAAGCAATATTTTTATAAATATCCTTTATATTGAGTCTTTATGCCCTACCTTACAAAAGAAACCGTGTTTTCATTACAAATATCAGCACGTTAATTGGGTTTTGGCAGATACAGCTCTATTTATCCTGAGAATCGTGTGAAACCATTAAAAACACAATCTGACGGTAAAGGGTAGAGTTTCAGAATGTTATAGCAGGTGCCACATGCAGTAACTAGTATAATTTAAAGGATTAAATTAAACCATTTATGCCAGAAATAATTTGTATATAAATGTGCTTGATATGACACTTGACACGTATCAAATTATACGTGTATGTTCACTTTACATGTAAAATATTTACACAGTACTGCAAGGTATGATACGCAAGTGCAGGTGTTGTATTGTAGTGTAGCAGACAGCTGATCATCGTTTCAGGGCACGCGGGTTACATATTGTTAAATACGAGAGTGCTGATGAAGAATGGCAACATTACTCGTACCAGAATGTCCATTCCACCACATTATCTTTTTCATTCCTCTAATTCGTTTGGCCCCCTCCTTGGTGTCTCCACCTTATCGTGGTGAGGGGGTTTGAGTATGCCAAGGACCCTGAGAGCTATACCAGCGGTAGCGTAGCTACTGGCAGGGCCTCCCTTGCTGGACAGGTCAAAGGGTAGGCATCAGACGAAGAGAGACACCAAAAACTGATGTCGGAAGCAGCGTCATCAGCAGCGACTTGAAGCACAGAGCAAATGATGCTCGAGATGGTTCAAGTTCGTATAGCAACAGGCGTGACCAGAGTGGTTTGAACGGCTGTTGTACTGCGATGTGGAAAGCAAATGGAAAAACTACCACATTATCACTTTTCCTGGATAGTCTCTTTCCAAAAACAGAAGATCGCATTAAGTGGAGAAACTGTTTTGGAAGAGACTGTGGACCTGTCGTCTGACAGATTACTGATGATGATGATGAATTCGTTTGGTTTCAGAACGTAAAATCTTAGGCTAAACGTGTAACAGGCCGCGGAGGTCCGCAGGGTTGTGAGACGTCGAGGCTCCCACATTTACAAAACAATCGGCTCATAGATGGCGGTGAAGTTGTCTGCCTTATGCCCAGGCCGCCCTCTACCCCTAGGAAGATTTCTGGTACTAATTTCTGTTAGAGGCTGAGTCGAATCAAGGGACATAGTGAGGCTGGAAAGATTAGGTCAATTGAAAATTTCAATGACCTCATCGGGAATCGAAACCACCGCCTTCCGGCTTGCAGCACAGTGCCTCAGTTTCAGAAAGAAGGGAAACTAAACACTTTAGATGCCTTTTAATCCTTCACCTTATGTTACCTTTTCCTTTTTTCTCCTGTCCTTTCTCTTGTTGTATTTACGCCCTTCTTTTGCTCCCTTCTCCACCCCTTCTATCTAATCTATCTATCTATCTATCAATCAAAATATTGACGGTTATTTTGACGATAGTGATAATGTCCATATTTATTTGAGTGAAATACCGTGACCTCTAGCCTATTTGACTAAATAAATTTCTTTGAATATTTGTTTATAGAGGAAGTACTAGGTTTGAGAAGAAAATATTCAAAATATTTAGATTAGCAGTTCAGCCACCTGAACGTAGTGCACTTGCAGCTTCACTGCAGTCAAATTTAATAATTTTATCTGAAAAATTTAACTCGTGCAACAGGAAAGTGGGCACTAAGCTGAATGAAAAGCATGTCACAACATAGCTTCCCGTTGTTTTGGCATTTCTATACAAATTCCCAAAAGCATTTCCGCCATTTTGGCACGTATTGCCCTTACTTCGGTCTAAAATTTCATCATGGATTTCGGTTGTTTCGGCAGAGTATTACAACATGTATTTCTACAGTTATGTACTTATATATACTCACTCACTCATGTAGCTGAGCCCTTCTTGAGAAGCTGCCAAATCAACAGCTACTCAAGAACTTCGCAGCATTTTATGGAAACCGAAGGTTCATTACCGTGTTCACGAGCCCTCCAGCAGTCCGTATTCTGAGCCACATCAATCCAATCCATACCATCCTATTGTATCTCTCTAATATCCATTTGAATATTGTCCACCCACCTACGCCTTGGTCTTCCCAGTGGTCTCTTTCCTGCCGGCTTTCCCACCAATATCCCATATATATTTCTCCTCTCCCCCATATGTGCTACATGCCCTGCCCATCTCATCCTCCTTGACTTGATCATTCTAGTTATACTTGGAGAAGAGTACAAGTTATGAAGTTACTCATTATGCAGTTTTCTCCAACCTCCTGTCACTTCATCTCTCTTCGGTCCAAATATTCTCAACACCCTGTTCTCAAACACCCTCAGTCTATGTTTCTCCCTTAATGTCAGAGACAAAGTTTCACAACCATACAGAACAACAGGGAAACTTACGTATACTTGTATATCCCGATAAAATATTCTTTGTCGCTGCAGAGCATCTCCACAAAAAGAAATTATTTTTTTCGGCAAAAAATTCCAACAAGAATTTATATTTCAGATAAAATATTCCAACAGATGTTTCCGTTGTTTCAACAAAATATTACAGTTATCTTGGCAGGATATTCCAAGGTATATTTCCTCCATTTAAACCCTCGTAGCTAAGCGATACCAACTGTAGGCTGGCTTTGTGACCATTATCTGAACTACGTCACGTTTCTCTCGCATATCATGTACTTCACTGGCATGTGATGCAGGATACTAGAAGCATTTCATCTTATATGCTACTCACTTTAGTAACGTATCAGCTGAGTAATTATTCGTGCCTGGAACCTATTAATAGCTGTATAATATCCTGTCCATATATTCGTCGTCCTTTTTCAGATTTCAAATTTGCTCTTTTGATTGAAAAGCAAAACATATTAGCATAACCTTGATAATAAGGGACGAGTGAATTTCCATTTTTCCATTTCCATATACCATTCATGAAAAACCCATTTCCCCCTCCCCCTTCCTCTGTTAATTCGTTAAAAACCGTATCGGGTTTCAAGTTTGGAGGGTCAGAAATGAAACTCGTTTGATGGATAGCTAAATGTTGTCAATCATGAATGTATAAATAATGGGCTTAGAATGTCATGTGCCATTGTAATCAAAGCGTGGAAAATTGGTTTAAATTGCCAACTTGGAACGGCGCGTATGACAGTGTTGAAAATATCACATTTGAGGTTATGAACAATTTTTACACTGTTTTATGTCTGTATTTGAAAAGACATGAGCGTGTGTTCGCACAACGTGACGCAAGTAATGTTACATTCTCAGTATATTTCCCTGCTTCAGGGTATTCATTTCTGCTTTTGGATCTGTGACATTTAGGAAACATTTCGTTGGCATGGTTATTATTTTGAATGCATTGTTGCATAACCGTGTCCTTCAGGTCCCAGTGCTCTTTTTATGGACGAAATATGAGGAAAGAATTTGACTCGGACTGGAATCCATAAATATAACAGCAAAATGAAGATTTGTTTCCGGTGGTATCTCTCAAAGAACCGCCCCTGTGGACTAGTGGTCAGAGGTTCTGGGTTCGATTCCCGGCGCTACCAGATTTTCTGAGAAGTAGTGGGTCTGGAACGGGGTCCACTCAGTCTCGTGACGATAATTGAGGTGCTTTTTTAAGGAAATAGAAAACCGAGATTAAAGGTCATGGGGATCCGTTGAGCTGAACACGTGACACCCCCTTTCCGCGAAAGTTGGCACTAACTTCGCCGACATGCGTCGGTCGTTCGGTCGGTATAGTTCGCTTGCAGACTATAGACTGCGGAATTTATTTGTTTTGATTGGTATCTCTCAAAAGAGGAATACATTATTTTTATTTAGAATTTCTTTCCTGTGTCGCAATTTTTAGAAGAAGCTGGGTAGGACGGACAGACAAGCGATTGAATATTATATTATCACGTGAAAGGGGGTACATGTGACGAAAATGACGGGTTCTAGATCGGATAATTGGGTTTATTGACACTTCGGTTACAAGTTGTTATGGTCACACTAAATTTTGTTTTAATTATTAATTTATTTTAGCATAAAGTCCGAAATCACCACTGCGGAATTGAATGATACAGGAACAGTGTGAGTATAAAGTTTTTTTCCGGGCTTAGAACCGAAGAGCTCTAAGAGTTGCTCCCCGACGGAGTTCCGAAGCCGTATGATGGTGAAGAGTGGGCGAATAACATAAGGGGCAGCCATTACTGCTGATAGGTAAAATTGGGGAGGGTGGGTGAGCTACAACACAGTTTCACTGTTCGGGCACTACATCGCGGCTTTCCTTGATTGCCTATTGTAACATTTCTAGACCCTGTGAGTTTACTGTGCAGACATCATGCAAGCAGGAAATTTGGCTGAAGCAAACAAATATATTTTCACGTGTATAAGTGACTACATACAGGTTTTGGATTGGTAATTTGATTTATTGAACACTTACCGATCGTAACCACAAGTAACAATAACGCTATCGATAATTCTCACACTCTACAATTCACTACAGCTCGGCACGTGTTGCACGAGAGTACCTCTTCAAACAGTTATTTTATTGTTGCGTCACGTAGTAGTCGCACGGACAGCGTAGAGAACACCGCTTTCTAATTACTCCATCGGTGCATGCGGCTATTATCTAGCAACGGTCGTTGTTTACAGTCACTACTCAGCAACGGGTCTACATGCTAAAATATGATAGATCCCACTTGCATATCGTGAGCGAAGTACACAGATAAATGTATGTAGCAACTATACGAAGAATTGTTATGCCTTTCTAGACAATGTCTCTACCCTTAACTACGTCTTCTGTGTTGAGTTTTCATCATCGCCAGTTAGTGACATGCATCGTTATGTATTCATTAGAAATTTGCCAAATTATGTTCGTCAGATACTTCCGATAACTATATGGCTTTGGAATTCAAACATGTTTTCACATGACTTCGCATTAGTAAGGCTGACGTGTACTTGTTCGTTGAGTGTATGGACTTTGGTTGCATTGAAAACACACATTTCAGTGATCTGAAACCAGTGTGTTATTATTTATCGACACGTCTTTCACGGCACATCGTATCTTGAGTAAGCAAACTTATGGGCAGATAATCTCGTGTGTTTAACGAGACATCTGGCGTGAATATTATGGTTTTCATCATACGTTGAAAATGTGATCAAGTAACTGTCTATTAATGACGTAACGACCCATGTCAGTGCCCGATCCTGACGCAAATTCAAACAGTTTTGTTTTTCTTTAGTATTAAGAATTGTGTTTGCTTTGCTGTATTTGTTTGTTTAGAACAGTTGTTTATTTTGGAAGCATGTGGGGAAAATATTGGAAGAAAAATGTTTCTTACAGTAAAGTTTCCTTAATTCGTCTGATAATATTGTTTTCGTTTTCGCAGGGTTCACTCTTCCAGAAACCGTAATACAAATCTCCCTGTTGGCGTGATCACAATACACACTGAAAACAATTACTACAACAGCCTGAACATGGAAGTGACGTCACGGCAAGAGGATAAGTTGTGTCCAAATAGTAAGGACGATCTGCAGGAAGTGTCAGTGAATGCAGAGGACGTTCCCAGCATGGCTGACCACAGGGAACAGGGTTCGAACAAGTCACGACAGACGCGGTGCGGAACGGCCGCTGGGAATAACCGCAGTAGAGGTCGAAGGTCTTCCCCACGCAATTCCAGACCTCAGACAGCAACACGTAATATAAAAGTGGAACCGCCGTCTCTTCTGGTTCAGAATTTACTGGAGACTCTAAAGTAGTGAATGCGGCCAATAGCTCTCTACCACATTGTTAACTGATTCCGCACGGTAATTATACAGCGTAATCATATTTTAGAGGAATGACTCTTTTATTAAGTACGGTATACTAAACGCTGCACGTAGACAAAATCCATTGATTTTGGGTTGTACTATCTATAATGAAACACAAATTTGTGTTATTATTTTATTAATATTCCTTTGTTCTGTTATTTTATAATCGTGCTCTCTCTGTGATTCGCCCTTGGCTGTTGAATTCAGCGCGTAAATAAATAAACAACGTGATAAATTATTATTCCTATTTAATATTTTTTCGAAGAGATTTAATTTCGGTAAAATGACGTCATCGTTTCTCACTGGATGAAAGCAAGAATGCGAATAATGATAACGATAATGTGATAATGATGCGAATAATGTTGTATAGTCAGGCCACAGTTTCGAATGTGTTGAACTTTTGTTAGTCATTGCAGTACAGGTAAAATATTAACTCTTACCTATGCTTAATTAAGAACCTCAAAATGTAGGCGAATGAGGAGATGGAGTTATGGCTCCAGGTATTCCCACCTCAGTAGTAGCTTGAGGTGAGTGGTAAGTTTCACGTCCCCGGTTCGTATCACCTGAGGACAAGAGCCCTCAACACCCAATATACAGGGGACTGGTTTGACCGCAAAATCGGTTTGGAGTTTTGTTGTTAAAAATGATTGATCAAAGACTCAATTACTGAATTTAGATTTCCACCAAAAACTGTAAACTTTGTCTTCACTAATGCGATTTATCCGGCCATAGCATCCACACATAACTTCGCCTGTTATTATCGTGAGCTCTTCTCTACGTTTAAAGGATAACTACAGCCTATAACTGTTTATTACTATGTTTCGTTTTCCCGCAAGGACAAAAAAATTATCGAAAATTAAACCAATCTCATATCACTATGCTACATCTGTTTTATTTATTGACTGCTACATGTTTCGATCAATATTTGGATCATCATCAGGCAAAGTAAAATAAAACTATCCCTGTACCAGTCCATGAAGGCCCATAGAGTTGTGAGACGTTGAGAGTCCCACATTATCTAGACAATCGGCTCAAAGATGGCGGTAAGATTGTCAGCTTTACGCGCCGGCCGCACTTCACTCCCCAGGAATATTATTTAATTAATTACCGGTACTCATTTCTGTTAGAGGCTGAGTAAACCCCAGGGCCTAGTGCGGCTGGAAGGATTAGGTCAATTGAAAAAATCCAATGACTTGAACCCGCGACCTTCCGGCTTGTAGCATAGTACCTTAACCACTACGCTACCGCGTACCCCATAATCATCAGGTAATATTCTTAAATACGTTACTCGTTACTGAATTATCCTAATGTGAATCCAATTCGCGTTGCAATTCAATAAAGTGAGTATCGTATTTCCTATTACCGAGATTAAGAGAGGCGTAGACTGTCACTCCCAAACGTCACTTCTTCTTCTTCGCTCTCGTGAGTAGGTACTGGCATGTTACAGTCCATCCAGGATGACCCCTGTATCAGCAAACAGTGCTGTCCGCCTCCAAACAGCATAGGCCAACAGTTACATGTACATTTCGGTGGTACGCATTACGACCTGTCTACTGTACATCACAATTCTGTCGCAATGCCAGTTCTTCGTTGCGTTGCGATTGCTCGAGCTGACGACATGCCCCTCACATACGCCAAAATTAAGATCTGACAACACAGCAATATTCTTCCGTTTGCTTTACTTTCGGCTGCATCAGACGCAGAAGTCAGGGAGCATCAAATGCAGGCATAACTCTGGTACCAGTAGATCGTGGTTCGAGAACCGTACAATAAATAAATGTGCCTGAAAATTGAGGCATCAAGTTTCTTCAGAATATTAATACCCATCTACTAGGCGGCATATCCTACACTCTTGATGACACAGTTAACCTAACAACTGGTTATAGATTGTTATAAAGTATGCTATTAGCTTTTCCAGAATTTTATATATTATATTTACATGATGCCTGACGGAATCAGTTAACAGACTGTGCCTATATTTGCATTGCCCTTTACAGTATTATAGGCCTACTGTAGAATCCAGACCCATCCGCCTTAACGTCAATATGAAGACTGAGCAACGAGAAGGGGCCTTTTACATAAAGAACCAAAACATAAAAGTGTGTTATGATATTAGATATTAACTATGATATACATATATATGCATAAATGTGAAACGTTTATTGGCTTAATTGTATCAGGGTTTAAAAATACTTATAACTTTTAAAATAGATTTCCAAGACTCAAAAATGGATGATTAAATTTGATTTTCTATTATGAAAATCATAAAAAGCATTTTAGTGGTGGAAGGGTAAGTAAATATAATATTTTATTTTATAAAATTGCTAGTGGAAAATGTTTGTTAAAATTAAACTGGAAATAATGCATTTCTTTGATACTTTCATCTCCTTTCTTCCTTTCCAGTAAATAAAGTTACCTTTTTGTTCTTCAGATGGCACAGTTTCGAACATTTGTTACACACACAACAAAGTTTTACAATTTCTGTCATTTAATACAAAACTTTACAATTTGCTGTACAGTTATATTATGCTTTACGTCATTATATGGATCAATATTGGAATATGTTCCAGAATTCTCTGTAATATCGTTTCTTTGGACCGCATTATAAAAATCATTAATATATGCAGCTAGTTTAATTAAGGAAAAGAGGAGATTAACAATTCTCTAATTATTTTATGAAATTTCATGATAATGAGTAGTTCATTATACCAATGTTATGTTAAATATTTTTAATTCTCTAAAGTATATATAGTGTTTAGATCTATTTGGAAGCAAATCATACTTCCACACGCTGTCAACCGCTCTCAGACATCATGGTGCCTCCATCCCTCATGGTACATACAATTCCGTGTCCGCTGATCTCAACCATCCAGTGGAAAGTGCAGTTCTGCACACCTTTGCAGGGCCCTGCCAGACTGTACAGTGACATCAGAACGTACATAGCATTACAACCTCTTTGCACCTACAGTAAGCTAAAAAAAATGTTCCTGTACAGTCACGGAAAGTGCAGTTCTGAACACTGTTGCAGGTTCATGTCAAGCTGTACGGTGACAGTGGGGACCTAAATAGCTTTACGGCCTCTCTGCACCTACAGTAGCTATGAAATGTTCCTGTGGAGTCACGGAAAGTGCAGTTCTGAACACTGTTGCAGGTTCATGTCAAGCTGTACGGTGACAGTGGGGACCTAAATAGCTTTACGGCCTCTCTGCACCTACAGTAGCTATGAAATGTTCCTGTGGAGTCACGGAAAGTGCAGTTCTGAACACTGTTGCAGGTTCATGTCAAGCTGTACGGTAACAGCTGGAACTTATATGACTTCATAGCCTCTCTACGCCTACAGTAAAGCATAGCAGTCATGTAAATAACTGAAAAGTCTTCCGTCTCATGCAGGTACGTTTTCCGAAAGCAGCTTTATCAAGTCCACCTGACTTGCCAGAATTGTACGTGGGTGCAAAACGGGTTTCCGCGACCTCCGCTAAACTAACTACTCCGTTTGAGTAAAAATACCATGTAGTTTGTGCTTTTCTCTCTGTATCTATACTACAAGGTAGGAGTTACTTATATGAGTAGGCCACGCCATAGCTCAGGCGTGGTTGTCCGGGTTCGAGCCTGGGTCAGTTCATGTCGGATTTGTGGCGGACAAAGCGGTACTGGGGTAGGTTTTCTCCGAGTACTTTAGTTTACCCTACCAATCTTCATTCCACCAATTGCTTCACAATCACCATCATCTGGGGCTGGTACAGTAGGCCAGAAGTGGCCGCAGTACCAAGTGGACTCAGTCTCACCCCCACTAACAATAATAATAGTAAAAAAGTATTTTTATGAGTAACACAAAGGCAAAGATAAAGGTTAATCTGTCTCTATGCATAAATAAATACGCAACTGGCCATGATGGCGTATGGGGAAGTTAAGCTAAAACTCTAACATTCTTGACCTCGGCACTGGATGCAGCTTCATGATCCAGCCGCTTTACCTCCCGGGGCAGAAGTTCTCGATATCCAGTGAATAGAAAGCTGGGTAGGTCTCAGAGGCGGTGCGAACACCCTGAAGAAGGGAAAATTTCTTGTCTCTGTCGTAAATCAATCCCTGGACTTCAAGTATGTAGCCTGCCTTTCGTACATACTGGGGTATTTGTAAGATAAACAGAGTTATAACAGCCAGACATGTGATTCTCGTGTTACAGTACTATAATATTTCTCGCTAGAATTTGCGACTGAGGTGATAAGAATCGCATGTTCTTTGGCTTGGATGAAAGCAAAGGAGGGGTTAGGAAGCAAGAAAACGTAGGACGTAACAGTGGTACCAAATGTAGCATTGCGGAACTTTGGTTTTCAGGTAATGAGAATTGTTTTGTTAAAAGTATCTGCACACAAAGAAATAATATGAATTTACAAGGTTTACTCTGTATATGGTAATGACATAGCCGTCGGCCTGTGCTGCAGCTGTGGACTGAAGCTTGCGAGCATGAATGTGTGAGAAGTCACAATAGCACAGTTCAGCTACCGCGGCTTCTCAAAACACTGACCTCCTGCCGCTTCTCAGCGGACCTCATTTGTGCTGACTGGTCACTCACAAACACCAGAACTAGACTCAGCCGCCAATTATAGGGAAAACCAACCCAGATTTGCACCCGGCATGTACGCACTGTACCACAAAAGCGGCCATGATATACACGCCAAGTTTTATACAGACTGGTTTATCCATTCAGACAGACAGCATATTGATCACATCAGCCTACTTTATTTTTTTCAAAATAAGGAATGTAGAAAAGTAAAGGTGAACCTGTGTTTCTACTAATTAAGCACTACTCTATGAAGGCGTATAGGGAAGTGGATGTATAAATCCACGTTTTCTTGACCTTGGCACTAGCTGTCGGTGAGTAGTCAGCTTCACGCCCCTGTCAATTTACCCTCGGGTAAAGAGCTCCTGGTATCCATTGGAGAAGAGGTTGGGTGGGCCCCAGAGCCGATATGGACGACGCGGAGAAGAGAAAATTCTTGATTCTACCGGAACTGGAACTCAGAACCTTCGGCCGTCCAGCCAGTGGCCACTAGCTGATCCAATTCAAGGAACAGATTGTATCTCATAATATATATCAGAGTATGAAAAATCTTGATGTAACATTGGTATAAACATGAAATGGCGTGTAATGTACATTTCTCTACGGTTGTTTTAATGATGGTGTGAGAAAATATATGATGTTCATTTATTAGATTGGCGAACTAATGTGAAAATGAATGAATTATAATTATTCATGATCACTGCGGTGTGCCTCAAATCCGGTATCTTGAAATCATTTCTTCCATGCAATGAAAGCCAACAACTTGTTGTGTAATATGTAAGTTACGGTAGTAATGTAAAAATACATGCAGTATAAATATATTAAGCGTAAGTTATCGTATTAATGCGAAAATTTTGAAATGAATAAATATGTATTCTTTTTCAGCATTTCACAATATATTAGTTTATTTATTGCTCTCTTAATATTTCATTCATTCATAATCATTTTCAATGCGAAAGGGACTGTTAACTAATTGACCTCCTATGCGCCAAACATTCACCAATTTTCGGAACGTCATTGCTTCCGATTTTGCATATATTTCAGGAGTAAGGAATCTTGCCGCCATACCAAACGGCAGAGCAGGTAGTGGCGGTAATGCTCCAGGTTTTTATTCTGGAAATTTTAGATAAGAATCTCTACCCGATCACCGTCTATCTGAATGAGGCTTTTCGTTGTTTTATTCAGTTGCTTAAGGAAAATGCCGTTATAGCACCTCTTTACGCAATGACTGTTTCCTTCCAAACCGTTTGTAATTCTTCTCTTATCCTACCATAAGAAGTTATAGGTTTGTATCCTGACAGCGTCATTAATAACACCCCCTCTTCTCTATAAGAGAAACAGCTTCGTGTTCTCTTGAAAAACTTTGTTCATATAATTCCATATAAAATAAATTTCTCAT